CCCCCGCTTTACCAAACACTGAGCGCCCCCAATACCGGCCGCCCCCAGCCCCGGCCAACTCCCCAACATTCCCTGCCACCCCCCTCCCCTTCTACACCGACCCACATCCCACCGCCACGGACGACCACTCACCCCCCCACCACAAACAACCCCACTGTGAAGAGCGTTAGACCATTCAGCACCACAAACAAGCCCACAATAAAGAGCGTTGGACCGCTCAACAGGGGCTTTGGACCACATATATCTCATCGTACCGTACTCATGGAATACTACTTTATAATCGTAATGTATAATGCAGCACAATATCACCGCTTGGAGAAGATGGATATCCAGGACGGGAGCGGAAGAGGGGGGAAGGACGAGAATAGCGAGTGGAGGGGTGAGGCAAGGGCAGGGAAAAATGATGGAGTACCTCAAAGTTTGATGCAAAAACGCATGATCGCACCGGCTCGCCTGGTGCGTCCCAGCCTGGGTTTTCTCCTTTTTTCCTTCTTTCCTTTTATCCTCCTCAAAGTTTGATGCAAAAACGCATGATCGCACCGGCTCGCCTGGTGCGTTCCAGCCTGGGTTTTTTGCTTAGTAAGAATGCTTCCAGTTTTATTCGGATCGTCCATTCTGCACACGCAAGTACTTCATAGATATTGCTAGTCAGTGGACGTGCGTAACTCCGAACAAACAAACATCCTGATGAACAGTAAAAACAATGCACAGCCAGGTATTTCAACTCGGCACCCAAGCAAGCTCCGGCGCCAAAATTTTGCGAGTGGTTTCCTCGGCCATGTGCCACCCCAGGACCGCCGTACCAATCCTCAAGCACGTCTGGGCCTCGCGTACGAGCTCCTCAAGTTATTGGCGGGAAAATAGCTAACTTGGGAACCAGAAAAGCTAGAAAGGTAAAATTTTGGGATTATGTTCCCCTTCCATATAGAACTCAAAGTTTTTAAATTCAGCACCCAGTTGTGTGTAGTTCCCGCGTACGACCACATGAGGATTTCGGGCGCGAAAATCGCTAGCTTGAGAACCAAGAAAGCTGAGATGCTGAAACTTTCAGGAAATGTTCCCAACTCATCTATAGCCTAAATTAATCAAATTCAGGCCCTTATTATGCGTGGTTGCCACGTATAGACCCGTGAAATTTTCTGGCTGGAATTTGGGTAACTCGGGAATTGAGAAAGCTGGGAACCTTGGATTGCAAGGGAATTTTCCCTGTTCAATTACAGCATGGAAATTCGAGGACCGGTATGTACAAGCTAGCTAGCGGAATTTCGAGTGATCTTATTACAGCACGAAACACTGCAAAAACGCATGATCGCACGGGCCCGCCCAGTCCGCGTCGCCAATGTTTTGGAAGATGTTGACTCAAGGAGCGTGCGTGTTTATGGTAATTTTGATATCTTTCACTCAAGCTAGTTATATAGTGCTCACTCCACAGTTGTCAAAACTTCTGCGATGCATTCGCTGACATCTCCCATAGCAGTCTCAGTTCCTGAGCAGAATTTGCTTGAGCTGGCAACCATTCTTTATCATTTGTTTCTGATTCACCTATCCAAAAGGTGGATATACCGATGGCCGCTAGTGGCATGAGAAAATCAGTCAGTTGTAAGAGGTGATTTGAAATGTAGAGGAAATCACTGCCATCACTACCAACGGACGGCTATTCAGAACAGCTTCTACTTCGTAGAATAGAACTGCAAATGATTTCAAAACCAAAATGCGCCTACAAATACATCGCCTAAAGCAATTTTTTGCCATACCTATTATGCGTTCATAAAAGCCACCCTGCCCTTCAAGGTTAAGTGTGGTTGAGCCGCAGAGCCGCCGAGAATTTTGTTTCACACCTCAGTGAGAACTTTAGATGCATACTGAAACGTAGTTGCTTGATCAGAATAAACTATTTTCGGTATGCCTCGACGAGAAATGAATCTACGAAAGGTATTTAGAAAGTTGTTGGTACTCAAATCAGACACGAGCTCAAGATGCACGAGTAGACAAGCAAGTAAATAAGACTGTCCACACTTTGCACTTGGCATTTTTTATTCGTATAAATAACGGGCCCATATAATCGATCCCTACATACATGAAGGGAGGCGATGGCATGACGCGTTCTTTAGGATACGAGGGAAAGAGAGGTAAAGTGAAGGGTTTTACGAGGTGCTTGCGGCAGATAAAGCAGTGCTTGTGGAGAATCTTTTTATGCGTTTTTGCAAACATGCAAATGCGAAAACGCATATTGTGACAGTCCCGGTGTGTACGTGTTTGCGGATATTTCAACCCAAGCAAGCTCCAGCGCCAAAATTTCGCCAGTGGGTTCCCCGGCCAAGTGCGACCCCAGGGCCGCGATACCAACCCTCACGCAAGTCTGGGCCCTATGTACGAGGGGGTAAAAGTTTTGGAGGGAAAATCGTTAGCTCGGGAGCCAGAAAAGCTAGAAAGCTGAAATTTTGAAGTTATGTCTCCCGTCTACGTGGAACTCATAGATTTTAAATTCATCCCCCAGGCTTGCGTGGTACACGCGTATGGCCCCGTGAAGATTCCTGGTGCGAAAATCGCTAACTCGGGAACCAAGAGAGTTGGAAGGGTGAGATTTTCAGAGAATGCTCCTAACAAATGTTGAGCTTAAACTTATCAATTTCAGCTCCCGGGCGTACGTTGCTGCCATTTACGGCCCTGGGAAATTTTTTGACGGGAAAATTGCTAACTCAAGAACAGAAAATTTAGAAAATTGAAATTTCAACGAAATGTTCCCTGTTCAAATCCTACGCAGACAGTTAACTACCCGGACCTCGAGGACCAGCATATCATACATTTCTAGCTAATGGATTTCCGAACGATCTCATTACAACACGAAACAATGCAAAAACGCATGATCGCACGGCCCGCCCGGTGCGCGTCGACAATGATTTATAAACTGTCGCGCGCAAGATATGCAATACTGTTTTCGAATTTCCCCCAATGTGTCGGTCAAACCGCTGTGTAATCGATTTTTGTGCACGTCTGGGACAATAAGCTCTGCTAATGGACCCCCTTGAAAGGTAAATCGGGTTAATTGTGGCAACTGGTAGTAAGCTGTTCTTTAAAAGTTACTTCTCACCAACCGATGTGCTCACGAAAGTAAATTGACTTCTCCAGCTCCTCCGCATCTCACGCATGGACACATAGAATGTAACGCAGACAATTTTGTAACTTCAGAATTGAAGCAGCTAGAAGGCCGAAAGTTTATAGACGTGGCTGACGGCAGTGTTTGACCAGGTGGATGTGAAAACAGTTCTCACGTTCCTTCCATGTCTCACGCGCGTCTCGCGTACAAACACATGAAATTTTGCGTAACTCTGCAACCGAAGCAGCTGTAGCGCCGAAATTTTCTGAGGCTAGCCCAGAGCCATGTTTGAGTAGGGGCATTCAAAAATAACATTCACTTTTTCCCTCACCTGCGGTCACGTGGAATCTGACGTAACCTGCAACTAAAACAGACACAATGCCCAAATTTTCTGGACATGACCCATGACCGTGTTTGGGTAAACGCGTGCAAAAAAACCCTCACGCTCCCCTTCACGTACGAACACGTGGAACTTGACGTAACCTTACAATTAGGGCGGCTACACTGTCAAAATTTTCAGGGCTTGGTCCCCGAGCGTATTTGGGTAGTTGTACATAAAAAACTTCCCCGTTCCCCTCACTTACGAACATATGAAATTTGACACAACTTCTCAACCAATGCAGCTAGAGTGCTGAATTTTTTGAGCATGGCTACAACCGGGTTTATTGGGAGTTTTTGTAATAATTTTTGAAAGTCATGATAGCCAGTCTCAATTCTTTTAGCTAGAAGCAACTGTCAGAGAAAACAGTGCCGATAGCAACAAAAACCAACGGGGAAACTGTGCAAAAAACGCATCTCCGCACCGGCAGTGGTGCACTGTCGAATTACTTATGAATGTTAATGATAATGAATGGCAACTCGCACCAGATTAGCCGGCGCGATCATGCGTTTTGTGCAATTCAGCCCAACTAACGATTGCCTATTCATGATTTTCACTGCTTTTTACTTTAGTCTATGCAAAAATAGTTGAAACATTGAACAATAATTAGAAATTTTACGCACCTGCGCATGAAAACTTGATTCGAAACCTTGAAGGGTGAATATCTTTCCGTGAATCCCGAGTTAATAGTTTATCCGCCAAAATTTTCACGAGGCCGTAGGCGATATTCGAGAGCGCATGAACGCTGAATTTGAAAAGGCAGGGTTGAGCGTGGGCAGGGGGTTATTACCCTAAAATTTCAGCTTTGCAGACTTTGTGGTTCCCGAGATAATAATTTACGCGAAAAAATTTCACTAGCCCGTAGGTGATACCCGGGAGCGCGGGAACGCTGAATTTGAATAGGCAAGGTTGAGCGTGGGCGGGGAATCATTACCCTAAAATTTCAGCTTCGTAGACTTTGTGGTTCCCGAGACAATAATTTACCCGTCAAAAATTTTCGCGGAGCGTACTTGTTACCCGCGGGCAGGGAAAAGCTGAATTTAAATTTTCTAGGTAGCACATGAGCGGGGGACTTGCTCACAAAATTTCAGCCTTCTACCTTCCGAGGTTCCCAAGATACTAATTTTACCCGAAAAACTCTTACGGGGCCGTACGTGTTACCTGCGGATATGGGAAGGCTGAATTCAAATTTGCCGCGTCACCCGTTGGTGGGGAACACTCTACTAAAATTTCAGCCGCCTAGCTATTGTGGTTTCCGAGTTGAAA